AGCACTGTTCACAATAGCCAAAATCTGGAAACAACCCAAGTGCCCTAGAACAGATGACTGATTAAAGAAACTTTGGTACATCTACACAATGGAATACTATGCAGCTATTAGGAGAGATGAAGTCATGAACTTTGCTTATAAATGGATAGACATGGAGAGTATCATGCTAAGTGAAATGAATCAGAAAGAAAGGGACAGACATAGAAGTACTACACTCATTTGTGGAGTATAAAACAACATAACATGAGGCTGACACCTAAGGATAGTAGATACAAGGGACAGATAGATTGCTCCATAGCTGGAAGCCTGCCTCAGGAGCAAAGGGGAGAAGGTAGCTGGTATTTTAATACTTTATCTTTTCTTTTTGGGTCACACCCGGCAAAGCACAGGGGTTACTCCTAGCTCTACACTCAGGAATTACTCCTGGAGGTGCCCAGAGGACCATGTGGGATGCTGGGAATCGAACCTGGGTTGCCCTCATGCAAGGCAAATGCCCTACCTGCTGTGCTATCGTTCCAGCCCCTTAATACTTTAATTCAAACTTTTCTTTGACTTTAGTTCACTTTGTTGATGAAGAAGTAAACATTTATATATCTAGGAAAACTAAGTGTTTAGAAAACCCTTTTCACAGAGAATCTTTGGGAGTAAAAAAATCTCCCAACTAAGGGAGATTTATCATTTAAGTTGAAAATCTTTCACGAAGGGGTAAATATGGTCTGGTTATTTATTACTGTTATCAAAATAATTCATCATCTTGCCATTTAATTACATATATGCATACTTAAATGTGTGTGTGTTGTGAAAAAGCAAGACCCATAAACATCAGAATTCAGGTATTTCAGATAGTATATTTATCTTTGTGTGTTATACTTATATTTTTAGATCATAAAGTACTTTTAAAAGGTCACACTAGTTTTTTCCAAAAAGAGTTATTATAACCTATGGCTTCTCTTCTTCTGGGTAATTTTTTTTTCCTGATCACTGACTTCATGAAACAAACTCTAGGGAAGTACCCTGAGAATTAGTGTTAGAAATTTTAGAGACACAGAGCACGGGAGAAGAGGGCATGAGTTCATACACTAAATCAGTATCTGTAACTCTTACCTGCATTACTTGGCCAGCAACTACCAGGGAGCCAGACAGCTGTCAAATGCACCTGGAAAACATTATCTCTGGGGCCTTCTTGTCTTCAAGAGGATGAAAGGCAACACTTGCAGTTCTGAAAACTGCCAACTCCACTGGGCTCCTGGCAGAGCTGGAACTCAAGCTCAAGCTGGGGCAACATTGCCAATGTGAGCTAATAATCTTTCAAAGGCCATCTAAATAGAAAATGTTTTCTATTGACTAATCTGGTTTCCAGTGGGGTGGCAGGGGAAGGGTGGGGTGATGGGGAAAGGGAGGTGGGGTGCTGGAGGCTGGGTAAAATGAGCAAAGGGACTCATGGTTGATTCATGGAAACTAGTCATTTGGTGGTGATCATGATATATGTAGTTTATACAGATGTCAAGTCAAATGCTGGGCATATGAATCTTACATGATGTTATAAACCTATGTTATTTCAACAAAATTATTGTATTTTTTAAAAAAATAACCAACCAGCCACTTTCTCGTCTCTTCTGTTGTATTTAGCTTTAGTAATGAATACTTTTATGAGGTCTTCTGGAAAGACCAACCATCTAGTTCATTTGTTTTTATTCCTTTGGATTGATTATAGAATCTTTTTCAACTCATCTCCAATGTATAGCACAACATGTCAAATACAATTCCTTATCCTCTTCAAAAACACTTTTTGGTATAAAAATATGAAGTAAAAACTATAGAGACACCAAAGACATTCATGAAAGCACTTTCCTTATATCCTATTTCCCTTACTAAATACAAGCTGGGAAGAAAAAAAAAGCAAATAGTACATAATAGGTTAAAGCAATGAAAAATTTTAGAAAAGTAAAGTGAAATTGCAAAACTAAAGCTGATTGTTATAGAGGAAAATTTAGGCACCATTTCATCTGAATTAAGCTCTTTGTATTGATAAAATGGGACTAAAACAGTACCAGATTACATGTATCTGTGAACTAGATCATTAAATTGTAAGGAAATCTTAAGGGAGCTTCTTTTAGAACTACTTACCATCCTCTTATTCTGTGATTTTCTATGAAACTATGAACTGATATAATCTAGGCAAGCCTACATCAAATCAAAGCATCCACACACTCTAGGGGCCTATTACAGTATTCTGGATAAAGCATAAATCTAAATGCCCTGGAAATAGAAGTGTTTAGAGTTGCTGTTAAGATTTTCATACCAAGCAGGGTGGGGATTACTGCATATAATATTTTCAAACTGCTACTTACTATGACGCAATATTCTAAAGTATTTGTGCTTTCATAAAGATGACAATTACCCAGAATTAAGGAAATTACAGTGTCAAGAACGGCATTATTAAAGGAATACAATTTCATTTTGATGTTTAACCATTTCAGCTCTGTTTTTATTCTACATGCTAGATGTTTAAATTATCCCTTTAAGATATGACATAAAAATATTTACGTGGGAGAAGAGAAAAGGAAATAGTGGTTAATAAACAGATTAAGTGATGGTGGTGGCAAAAAGATAACTTTTGATGAGAAAAGCACCATTTTAGCCACAAGAGCATGAAAGTTTAGCCACTGGCAGTTGAAATTTAACAATGTATAGGAAGTTAATCGTATGTGTCAACTTTGTTTTGGACCTGGCAGTGCTGATTCCTGGCCCTGAATTTAGGGATCACTTCTGGCAGGGTGCAGAGGACCATATATGATGCCAGGGATCAAACCTAGGTTGGCCACATGCAAGGCAAGTGCCCTATCACTCCAGCTCATATGGAGTGATATGACTAGATTTTTGTTACCTCCACATAACCAGAGTTGGTAAAACATAATGTCTATGCTGGTGTTTCTGGATGAGATTGGTGTTTTATTTGGTAGACTGGGTGGCCTCATTGTGGGAGGGCATAACCCACGGATTTGGAAACTTCTCAGCCTCTATAATTACATAAGCCAATTTCTAGTACCTATCTCGACCTTGTTTGACACAAGACAATGTGCCCCCCAAATGGTGCTGCTTATGCTAAACCCCGCAACACTACACTGAGAAGTTAATTCCAGTTTCAGCCTCTCTCAGCAATACAATTCTTAAACCGGTCAACCAGGAATCACCTGGTAAGCAGTGGTCAGATCATTACCAATCTGCTTGTTGCTAATACCACTTCCTTGTTCCCATTTCCTTCTGCCTTTAAAGGTCTTGAACTGGGTGCTACCTGATTCCTGAGTCATTGAATAAAGCCAATCTGATCTCTATAATTTACTCAGAGATTTTTCCCCCTTGGGGTTTGTTTGTTTTGTGTGGGGGGGGGGCAGAATTCATGGCCTCTCTAGACAAGGATGCACCTTACCCTCGAGCTAGATCCCCTGCCCTAGAAATTTGTTTTTTAATATTATCTTAAAAATGAGTAAGAAGAGGCTGCTAAAATTTCAGGGCTGAGAGGAATAGAGATGTTACTGGAACCCGCTGGAGTAATTCGACCATCAATGGGATGTCAGTAATACAGTGATACAGTGAATATTATCTTATTGATTCTATTTATCTAGAAAATCCTATTGCTTACATGAAATATTGAAAGAATAATTATTTTATTTTTTAAAGTTTTCCTCAAGAATTTATTTTTCAAGGGCCATAAAAATAGCACAGCCGGGAAGGCATTACCTTGCATTCAGCTAGCCCCATTTCAATTCCTGGCACTGTATATGATCCCCCAAGCAATATCAGGAGTGATTCTTGAGCAAAGAGGCAGGAGTAAGCCTCAAGTACATCCAGATGAGGTCCCCAAACAACAACAACAGAAAGGAATAATTTTTTTAATAAGGCAATCTTCTGTCAAGGAAAGAATACAAATCTGAGAATCCAACAGACCGAGGTGTAATGACCAGCTCAGTTATTTTATTTTATTATTATTTTAAAACATTTTTGAGGGAGTTGGTGGTGTGAGGCCATCTCTGGCAGTGCTTGGGATCTACGTCAGGCTCCAACAGTGGGTGTTCAGGGAACCATGAGTCTAACTTGGGGTCTTATACATGCAAGGCAAACGCTTTGCCATTGAGACATGACCCTAGCCTCAACTCAGCTATTTTAATAAATCTGTGAAGCCAGAAAATGTGGCTGTCTTTTAAAGTATCAGCTTCCTGGTTTGTTGGCAGATGATTTTGATAACTACAAATATAAATGAGTATAGATTACATAGGCTAGAGCGATAGCACAGCGGGTAGGGTGTTTGCCTTGCACACGGCTGACCCAGGTTTGATTCCTCCGCCCCTGTTGGAGAGCAGGCAAGCTACTGAGAGTATCTCGCCCTCACGGTAAAGCCTGGCAAGCTACTCGTGACGTATTCAATACGCCAAACACAGTAACAACTCTCACAATGGAAATGTTACTGGTGCCCATTCGAGCAAACCAATGAACAACGGGAGGACAGTGCCGATGACAAATTACATACTACACTACTTGAAATACCAAATGCATTTTTTCGAATATCTCTTCATAATTTTATTCAGAATAGATTCAAATTAGTTTTTGAAAAAGTTTTTAGATTTGTCTAACATTCTTTTTCAAATGGGTCTTTAAAATTCTCCCCCCAAGATTTAGCAAAGGCTTATATAGTGTTGTCTCAGATAGTTCCAGAATCCTCCAAGGTGATTTGTAATGGGAACTTTCCACAAGGATTAGCCTGTGTTGTGAATCAAATGATCCACACATTTTCCCAACAAGCTCAGAAACAGTTGAGGTTTTCATATCTTTGGAAACAGGCTTCTCTGCTGATTCTATTTTTATAAGGTTTTTTTCTAGAATAACCTTAGACCAGCTGAAAGAATCCATAAACTGCCTTGAAAGTCAGAAGAGAGCAATGAGAACACCTTGAATGGTCAAACCTAGCAGAGTCAGTGCTGAGGGGCTGCCTGGGTACTTACTTGGCATTAGCTGGGTTGTTAGTAGTCAGGTTAGCGAGGGCCAGTGCAGCTGCTTCCTTTACTTCTTCATTGTCACTTTTTAGCAACTGAATTAACTGGGGAATCCCTACCAACAAAAAGAAAGGTGAAGTATGACTACACAAAACACATGCATGAACTAGAACGTGGTAACCTGAAAGCGCTCCAGAGAATTTTCTGCAATCTGCTTACCCTGAGTATTGAAAGAGTCTTTGCTGCTTGTATTCTCACACATCACTGAAATAGCTTGGGAGGCAGCAATTTTGGTTCCATCATTTTCAGAACCCAACAGGGATACGAGGCATTTTTCAACCTCTTGCTCATGGAAAAATTTTCTGTTTTCAGCTTTTGCCAAATAAAAAGAAAAAAAAGAATCAGAGTTTAATGGCAAAAATAATAATAATAATAAAATAAAATGATGTAAGGATAGCGAATTCTTCAGCCAAATACAAAAAGAATTCAAACTACTTGCTAGGTTAGTCACAGAGCCCAAACTAAACAAAAGATGCACTTATTTCTCCAAGAAAGTACAGAAATTCTGCAAAAATGAATCACAAATATTGCATTTCTTTTCTATTTCCTCATAGGATATTAATATCATGGCCAAATATTTTTCTAGTTATACAGAGGCAAGTTTCAGGTTTAGCAAGAACTTATATAACACTAGTTATTTGCTTGACATGGTGACATAATCACCCCTGTTATCTCCTCACTAAACATATAAACCTATTTGCTTAAGGGCTGGAGAATGGCTCAGTTGTAAAGCACTGCCATGCTATGTAAGACCTGGGTTTTGTCTCCTAGGTTCAATATCCAGCACCAAAACTTATTGCTATATTATTTTATTTATTTAATTTTTTTTCGTTTTGGGTCACACCTGGCAATGCACAGGGGTTACTCCTGGCTCTGCACTCAGTAGTTACTCCTGGCAGTGCTCAGGGAACCATATGGGATGCTGGGAATTGAACCTGGATCGGCCACGTGCCAGGCAAACACCCTACCCGCTGTGCTATCTCTCCAGTCCCTATACTATTTATTTTAAATTAAAGACATCAGCATTTAAAGAAATCTAAAAAGGTAAAATATGGTGAGCAGGATATTTAAGAGAAGAGAGAATTTTAAAAAATGGTGATATCTGGTCTGATCCTAAGTTTTAAGAAATTGATAACCTTATGTCAAATAAATCATGATCACCTTTTATCTTCAATGACAGTGTAGGCTGACAAAGCAAAAGCTAAATAATCATTTTCCTGCTCAGTTATTATAAACATAAGCTCAATTTGCGTTATGGCATAATTTTCTTTATCAGAAAACAAAGTCATGACTAGAAGTATATTCCATCTTAACCTCATTAAAACACTAAATTAAGAACCAAAATAGTCTTCCTGTTCTTCTTGTTCTCTTAGATGACTTAGTTTAATATTTTAATAAATAATAATTTTGTTGTTATATACCGAAGTGGAAATTGCTTAAACAAAGCAAAAATTTACTTAAATAAAAACCTGCTCTTTTCCCCCTTATATCTTATAGTTAATTCTAAATGTTACTATCTTTTAAAAGCAAGTAATAGAAAAGGTGTTAAAGCAAATTTAATTTTAAGGCCATATATCAGAGATTTTTTTTTTCACTAGAAATAGTTTACAAATAACTTTGTTTATAGTTTCTTAAAAATTGTGGTAGATTTGATCATCAGTTAACTTTTATGAAGTCAACTTACATGATTGAAAAAGATAGATGCTCTCAGATGATGACATTGAAGAGAAAAATACTCAGTTTCAAAAACTAACCAGATTCTCCGGAGAATAAAAATCTTTGCCCAAGAGGCTAACACTAATTTAGATGACAACAGTACATGTCAACCTGAAACAGTCAGTCTCTTAAACATAATTTTACTAACCTGCCTTTCCCCCCAGTAATATTTTTAGAAATGATTGCGACTAGGTTTCTATTTTAAAGTTAACATCTGATTGCTGTCTTCTAGCAAGCACTTTTCAAAATTGCCCTTCCACAGAAGCAATATCACATTCAGATGGCTCCGTATTTGCAAATACTTTGGACCTTTGATCATTGGATACACAGATGTCTGCCACACAATATGGCCATAACTAGCACAAGTTACTCGCACTTCTGTTCATTCATCTTAAACCAATTATAAACCGTGTCCTGTAATCCTATCATTTTAATCCCTTGCTCCTTTCATTTAAAATTAGAATTCAGGCAGGTCATAACTGTTTCATTAAAATGCTGCAATTCATACTTAAATCTCAAGGATGCGGCTCCAAAACGGTTTGAAAATGTATGGTGTCCTCTTTAGTTTTCCCTGAACAAATAAGACCTGAAACTTTTCTGGAGTCTCTGACCTTAAATGCTTCAGATACACAATTCTTTCTGGATGGTTCTAAATCAACTCTCCAAAACAGAATAGTCAGGGTGTAGATTATATCAGGAAAATCATCCCACCAAAAACAACAACAAAACCAGTATAGATGCAATTATTGGAAAGATTTTTTTAAATGATTTAAAAACTCTAGGCAATTAGGTTCTCAATCCTGCTGGGAGTGTTCTGAAAATCCAGCTGTGTTCACCAAACCTCAAAAGTGCTGGCTGCAGAGTGGCTATAATAGATTTAAGAGATGAATTAGCATATTAACCAACTACCTTTCCTAAATTACCACACTGAGAAGTATTTATGTTTTAATTACCCAGATAATAAAGATGGCAAGGTAATTGTGCAACTAAAAGAGTAATGTCCTTTAAAAGGAACACTTATTCAGTATTACTAAAATAAAAAGCATGCGGCTTTGTCACCGAAAATAAATCTGTACGTAATGATGCTTTTCTTCAGCCAGTCTGGGAGTGCTATTGCAGCCACCTTAGCTCCTGCTGAGATGTTAATGCCAGTTCATAAACCGCCTGGCAGCACGGTAATTAACACCTTCTTCCTTCTGGTATCAGGTCAAAGGCACACTAGTTTGGGATTTCCATGCATCTTACACGGCAAGCAAAACTTTAAAAATGTGCATGATGTGTTTGTTGTACCTTTGCTTTTGGCTAGCCAATGATAGTGCATTATCCAGCTTAGGACAAAAATAATTTTGTTGATGACGATGAGAAGGAAAAAAGTCAATAAATGCAGATGGTGACGTCTGTTAAAAATTACTTATAAATGAAATCTAACTGAAAAAAATTTTACCATCTTTTCATGATTATTGACTTTTCCATAAATAAGTTAGGAGATATAACTTGGTTCATCTTTATTATTTTCTTAGAGTTTAGCTTTATCTTTCCTATTAGAATAAAACATGCAAACCAAAAGTTTAAGTCATACTACAGCTGAGAGAAACGGGCAGATTAAGAAAGATGGGTAGGATCTTTTTGGACTAGTAAGGCAAACCTAGAGGGAAGCATCAGTGGAATGGAAGTGAGGGTTCTAGGATTATTGTGGATCTGCACGTGAGACCAGGAAACACTAGCACATAAGTTTTGCAATGCCACGTTAGAGGAAAACTGGGATACAAGAGTCCTTTGATGGGAAAAGAGGTAGAGGGCATCTCAGAACTATTGTCTATTTATTAAAAACCAGGCCTAAATCAGGCACACTCCATTTCATGGTACATAAAACACTAAAAGCTAAAATTATGAGTATGTGTATAGTAGTAGGTATGTAACTAAAAATAATAAATAGTCCTAGGGAAAATCAATCAAAATAATAATATAATCAAAGATAAAATTGGGAAAAAGTCCTATTTTATTTTATTTTATTTTATTTTTGCTTTTTGGGTCACACCCGGCGACGCACAGGGTTTACTCCTGGCTCTGCACTCGGAAATCACTCCTGGCGGTGCTCAGGGGACCATATGGGATGCTGAGAATTGAACCTGGGTTGGCTGCGTGCAAGGCAAACGCCCTACCTGCTATGCTATCTCTCCAGCCCCAAAAGTCCTATTTTAAAGGGAAAAATATTCTGGAGCTCTGAAAGGGGGGTGAGAAAGAGAGATAGAGAGAGAGAGAAAGGAAGGAAGGAAGGAAGGAAGGAAGGAAGGAAGGAAGGAAGGAAGGAAGGAAGGAAGGATAGAGAGAGAAGATAGAAGAAAAACTCTCAGACCTATTTTGGCATTTTTTTTTTAATTACCAGATAAAGGAGTCTACCCAATATACAGATAGATATATAAGTGTGTGTGTGTGTGTGTGTGTGTGTGTGTGTGTGTGTGTGTACAGTTTGTTATATACAAACAAAAGGGAAGTCAAACTAACCTTAGACTAAGATACTATAATAGCAAGGTTCACTGATGAGATGGGGCGGGTGGGGGGGGTGGGCGGGGGGGAGGTGTGAGGTGTGGAGAGGGATGGGGAATCAAGTCTAGGACCTCATTTATGAAGTGCTTATGCTATACTAAAATATTACAGCCCCAGTCTCCCACAGATATGTGAGAGAAAACATTATGAAGCAGCAATTATCAACCCAGTTAACCTGTCATTTATGCTTAGAGGCAACTGACAGTAATCATGGGTAAAAGTCTCAAAACAAGCAAAGAAAGAACCACATACACATACACACAAAACACTCTTGATTGTTTCTGAAATAAATTTTTAACTGAGAACACATCTGGTTAATTGAGAAATGAACCCAAAAATCTTAGAAATCTTAAGAATGGACACATTCTATTATGAAAATTTATAATGACTTTTAAACAAATTTGATGGGAACCTAACTCTAAATGGTATAAATGTTTGGGTGAAATAGATTGGAACTGGTGAAGTGATTCTTTAAATAGAGAGTTTAAATTTAGAGATTTTCTTTAAATTTAAATTCTTTTAATTTAGAGATTTTCTAAATATTTAGAAAAAAAGAGTTCCTAAATCCCTCTATGAAATTTACAAACATCAGAAAGGGAGAGAAATACGGAAGCTAAATTGACAAATATCTTATATAGCTATTAGCTTTTCCTTTTAAAAATACTTGCAAAAAATTGAAAACTATATAACAAAAAGAAAAATAAGAAAACATAGGAGATAGCATAAAAAATTAAAAGCAAATTCCAAAATACATGATGTCATAAAGAAAGCCAAATGCAATAGTCATTAAAAAAAATCAAATTATTTTCATCACCTTGCCTTTGGATTCACAGCCATGAAGTTTTTGCTATATTACTAATCTGTGGGACCTCACCATCCCTGCTCATTCCCTTGACTTTACTTAGTCTCTCTGAAAGTAGTCGCTTTGTCTCTTTATTTAAACCATCTAGTATATCACAATTGTTTTTAAGGAAGACCATATTTGATGACTCATGGCAATCTTAATATCAAATTGGAATTTGAAGTTAAACAGCAGTAATATTTAAAAA